TCACTCCACACCACCACGCCTGCCAGGACAGGCACGGCAGAGGGCAAGGGCCTGGTCCGCGTTCCCAGCCGTATTGTGGCCTTGGGGCAGTGGGCAACGCTCCACAGCCACTCAGCACACTCCTCTACACGTAGGATCCGTTTCTGCCTCCACCCCCAGCAAGGTCGGGTTCTTGGCACCACCCAAGCCTTCCGTTTCCCACTGACTGTGACCTAGGCCTCAGTTTCTCCCTCAGACATTGATGTGCTGATCAGTTTTGCCAGGTGGCTGACCGGACCCCCTCACTCAGGCCAGCGAAAGCGTTCCCGTGGTCCATGGTTGCTGAATCAGAGCACATGCTGATCATTTGACAGAAATTATTGGACTTCCAAGCCAGAGGAGTTAAAGCTGCAAGTGGACAGACAGATAATTATGATGGCGTGAATACCTGTGTGTGCACACAGCCCCTCAGGGGCATCCGAAAAGCTGAGAAGCTCTTTCATTCTTTTTTCTTCATTTCTCATCTTTACCAGTTTCAATGTTCGAGCTAAACATAAAACTATGAAAACCAATTTTTAAGCCACTGCTAGATACTTAAAACCAGATGAGTTAGTCTCATTATCCCCAGACGCTTCACGCCTAGTAAGCTAGTAATGTTGCTTAGGTGTGAAATCTCCGGTCCGCCCGTGCACCTGCCTCCCCCCTGATCCCTGTCCAGACCCCACAGGCCTCAGCTGTGAGGCAGCGCACAGCCCGCATCGTTGTGCCACCGGTTTCCTGCTGTCATCCAACAGCGTCTTCTTGATCCGTGAATGAGAAGAGCACTCCACCTCACTTGCCCCTGGGTTCCATTTCCTTCAGGGGCAGTACTGAGTATTCCAGGTTACAGGAAGGAAGCAAAAGTTAATCAGGAGCACGCAGAGAGGAGGTGACGGAGGGAGCAGTGGGGAACATGCATGCATTTGTGTTTAAAAGACAAAGGGAAAATAAGATACTACATACACTTACCAAAACAGGAATTTTTTTTTTTGCCAAAAAAAGGTTTTTGTTTCTTAAGGAAGTTTCATAGAAAGCACAGAACACATTTATTTCAAAAGAGTGAAAGTCAAAAATGCTTTTAAAGTGGCAGGATATTAACCCAGTTCCTGAAAAGTCCCTGGTCCATAGGCTGGGGTCTCAGGGACCAACCAGTTCAGCCACTTTGTTGGCTGGGCCCCAGGGTTGGGAAGGGCTCAGGGCTTTGGAAGATGCAGCAGCTTCACTGCAGGGCAAAACCAGGGTGGAACCCATGTGTTTCCACAGAAACCTCATAGATGCCAAGAACTTGGATTCTTCAGATCAGTGGGGACACCTGAGCATATCTGGGCTAAGCTACCCACTTCACGGCTTGCCACAGATTGGAAATAAATTGGTGAACTTATTCTGTTTCGAGCTTTGAAAAGAACAATCTGGTCTTCTTTCTTGAACTGGCTTATTCGTCCCCCCTCAGCCTGGCCGTAGGCCGCTCCTGCTCTGTGCGGGCTCTGAGAGGGCTGAATGTCCCACGCAGGTGGCAGCGTGTGTGGGGTGGCACATTCGCTGTACGCCTCTGTTGACCCGAGACTTCTGAACTCGGTTCTGTGGATGGCTGGAGAACGTGCGGTGCATGGAACTGTCCCAAAACAAAGAGTGGCTTTGGGTACATCACTGAGCCTGCACGCGGTGGTTCTGACGCCAACCCCTCCGTGACACTGTGTTTGCAGGGGCCGTTAGACCCCCAAGAAGAAGGCTTGGGTTGGAGTGTGGCAGCAGGGACCCACCTAAGCGCCAGGCTCCTCCCGCAGGTTCTCAGCGGGCGGCTTCCCCAGGCTGAATCACACACTGCAGAACACGAGCGAAGGGCGGCTTTGCCCTCCACAAGGTGGTCCGGAGGAGTCAGAGCAAGGGCGGTAGGCAGGGGCAGGCCCCCCCCGAGGGGGCGAAGGTCTCTGCCACCACCGCCGTGCCAGGCACAGCTGTCATGGGGGAAGCAGAATTGCTCTCTGTGTGACAGTGGGAAACCCAGCTCTGCTGGGGTCGTTTCTCTCTCACCTCAAGCCTCCTGGCTCCTTTCATGCATTTGCTACACCTGGGGCATTTCGTGGTGATGAAATTTTCACGTCAGGGTGCTTCTGCAATTTCTCATGCAAGGAACCTTCACTTTAACAGAAAGAAAGTCGGTTTCTTTCTTCTGATTGCTTCTAAGCTCTCATTTTTATCTGCCTTCTTTCTTCAGAAATAGTCCTGAAGCACAATCATCCGTCAGCAGTAACAAGCCTAATTCCAGCTCCTGGGGGACTGTGAAGGGAGAAGCGGCCAGGACTGATTCAATATTTCTCGTCTTAGAAGTAGATTGTGCTTCCTATGTTCAGAGTTTCTTTTTGCATTAAAGAGTCTTACAGCTTTTATATTATGTTAGTCATGTTTCATGATGAACATTTATTATTTTCTCATTTAAAATATTGTGTTGCTTTATCTCATTTGGTGGAATATGGTTAAATTAACAGCTAACCCCCCCCCCCGCCGGGTATATATCCCCATTACCACACCAAATACAAGCATAATGCTTCCTGAAAGCTGTCCAGCACTGAGGATTATCTCATATGCTTTCTCCCAGGTGATCACATTTTTCTCCATCTCCGTATCCCTCTCAGACTCCCTGGAGGCCTGTGGGGGCCTGGGCGTTCACAGAGAGCAGTCCTGGCAGGCAGGTGCTCGAGGTCCCATGGGTCCCCAGCCTCACCTGCCTCCCCACCCTGGATGAGTTCTCCTGTACGCCGGCCTGGCAGGGCTTCTGCCCGAGTGTTCCCCAGCCTGTGCCCTGGAGGCGTTTTCAGCCCCAGGTGGTTTTTCCCATTTCTCTTCCTAGTTAGTCCCTCGAGGGGGAGCTCAGCCTTCTGTAGACCAGGACGCCCATCTCAGGGAGCCGAGGGCAAGTGGGCGGGGCAGCTTTGGAAGCATCATGGCCAGCGCCTCTGCAGCCTCAGGTCCTCTGCCTTTCTGAGGGGGCGTTCAATGAGATGGTAACTTCTTCCTGGGAAAGTAGCATTTGCCTGTGGTCGTGAGGCTTTATTCTATAGATTACGATCTCCTTTTTCAGTTGTGTCCAAAGGAATGTTTTCACTCTCAGCAGCCCCCACTCCCTGCCCTGTGAAGGCGGAGCACCTGTTTTCTGACGTGTGTGTTTAATGAGTGGAAACCAGCATGGAAGGGGTCCGCCATCGGCAGCTCACATGTGCTCAATAGCAATAACTCAAACTCAGGTGTCAAAAAGACACCTGGGAAAACCAGAGCGTCCTTAGCTGCACGGACATGCTGATCTCCCAGTGACGTGGCTGCTGTCCACAGCACGGCCACCTGATCCCCATCAGTGTTCCTGTGACCCGAGGTGGAGAAGCCTGTCTGCTGAGGAGCCCTGAGAGCCTTCCTCTTCTCAGACCCCCGTCCTCCTCCCAGGGCCCTGGGGAGGCGGGGAGGGCCGTCCTCTCTGTCCCACTCAGGCCTCTGCATGGGCTCTGCAGCTCTCTGAGTCTTCCACTTACTGAGCAGGCTCCAGAGATTTTCAGCCTCTTCGGAGGGGCTGTCTAAAACTTTTCTTATTAAAAAGTGGAATCTAGATTGGGCAGAAGTTGGCTTTTCACTAAGTGTGCGGTGTAAACTCCCTTCCTGCTGGGGCGAGGACGGTCCAAGCAGGCGTTCTAATGGCCGAGGTGCCTTCAAGGCTCAGAAGTCTTCGCGGGGCGTGCGCAGCCCCAGCCGAGCTCCAGGGAGGGGCAGCCGCCCCTGACACTGTGTCTGAGACCGGGGCGTGGCACAGTGGAGACGCCGTCCCTCCAGGCTGATGCCTGGCTTCTCTTCTCTTTTCCTGTACCTCAGTATCTTTTTCTTCTTCCTACCAAACTCTGGAAGGGCTTTCTTTAGAAAAAAGTTAACAAAGTGTAAACGATGACGAGGTCTAGGTCGGTTTATCACCTCTCCTGTGTATATTTACACGCCCATAGACCCAGCTGGAACGCTCCCTGCTCCCTGCTGCTGAAGCTCTCAGTTCCCCATCGGGAAATGAGGGGGAGGCTTCTATCTCTTACACTTGCTTATGGATCCTGCAAACGTTTATTGGGTGGCTGAGCGGCTTCTCTAGGTCCAGAGGGCATCCACAGCGAGGAGACCCACGCTGTCCAAGCCACCTGGGCATAAGGACATGGATGCTTCTGTGTCTGTGTCCCCCAGGACTGGGGCAGTAGCACAGGGAACAGTCCCAGGATAAAAGACCCCAGAGGAAGTGGACGGCTTCTTTCCAAAGTTTTCTTGAATTTGGGGTGGGATGAGTGTCGCAGGCATGGAGTTCAGGGAATTCCTTCCAGTGTGTGAGAAGAGTGTGGTGAGGGGTGATGGCGGGGAAAGGCCAGCTGCAGAATGTTCAGTGACTACATTATTCCCTGACCCCAGAATCCATGGACAGGCACTCCGGTCTCCAAAGCTGTGAGCGTTAACCCTGCTGCTGCAGAGAGCTGGCATCGGTGCCATGTGGACTAGTCCTGAGGACATGGCGTGGCGGGGCTCCTGCTGTTTGCCCTCCTGCCGCCCTCCGCTCTGAGAAGCGAGGTTGCTCTGGACAGGGTGGCAGGTGGCAGTGAATGGGCGGCCCTGGCCTCGTTCACCAGGATGGCCAGCCTCTGTGCTCTCAGCGTGTGCTCCGTGTGTCCCCTGTCCCTGCTGTGACGCTGTCTGGGAGAGTGATACCACCCACCTCGGGGTGCAGTTCTGAAGATCAGTGAGATACTAACACCTGTGAATTTTAGTCTCATGCAATAATTCAAACAACTATGTTTCTATGGCTCAAAATCACAGTAGTGCAATGTGTGTGCATTTAAACTAGCTCGTTAATGTTAAGGTAGCCCAAAATACACATTTTCAAACACTAACACAACATGTCCCTGGATTTCAGAGAAAATCTGTCACTCTTTCTGAGTTCTGTTAACTATGAAAACATGCACGTTTTTCAGGTTGCCCTGGTGCCAAAAAGCATGAGTTTCTGACGAGCGTTCTGGACGCGCTCTCCACGGATATGGTCCACGCCGTCTCTGACCCCTCCTCCTCGTCAGCCAGGTATGCTGTGTTTGCTGTGGGATGACGAGGGGGCGGGGCCCCAGAATTCCGGGGAGTCAGGAAAGTCTGAACATTGCATATTGGCGACCTTCTCAGCTCATTTGGACACAGTAGGGCCTTAAAAAGGAGCCCTCTGCAAAAGGACGTTGCTTAGCAGGTTCTTCTTGCAGCAAGACTAAGTCACTGAAGACGCTGCCTGCGCAGCGGTATACGGCCCTGAGCCAGCTGTGACTCCCAGGGCTCCGTGGGGCAGTGGGCATTGACCCTGGCCCTGTGATGGGGAGTGGGACAGGGAGCACAGTTCCTGCAGAGGGCTTTGTGCTTTGAAATTGCACTTTGGAGTTATCCACTGGATTTTAAATACTTTGAAGGCCAGTGTCGATTTGAAGCTCTCGAACTGTGGTTATGTTTATTTCAGTAAAGTGTAGGGCACATACATTTGCCATCCTAACCACTTACAGGCATATGATTTGGTTGCATCAAAGACATTCACACTGTTGAAAACAGGATTTTTTGAACGCTAGGAGTGTTCTTTGAGGTGATCGTAGCATTTCCACACTCCCAGACCTGGGCCTGGAGCTTGGTGGGGTGGACTTCGTGAATTTCCCGACCCTCCTCTTGCCCACCTTCCACAGATCGGCCTAAGGACAGTGGGAGGACCCCAGGGTTTTATTATGACTGCATTTCCAGCATCCGCTTTTCCCCCTGAACTAGCAATAATTTATCTGTGTCTTTCAAATCAATTTTTGATGGAGATTTCCACTTTTTAAATTTTCTTTAGAATGTTGGCCTTTCTCCCCAGAGCCCCCAACACCCAAACCTTGATTATCTCAGCCACTTTACATGAATTTTTTGGTCTCCTGAACTAAAAGGCTGTTCTCTCATTGTCTCTTTGCTAAAGAAGACTTGAGGAAATTAAGAGGCAATGCTAACGGAAAATGTCATGAATGCGTAGTAAATTAAATTTAATAGAGCAGGCCGGTGCGGTGGCTCATGCCTGTAATCCCAGCACTTTAGCAGGCCAAGGTGGGTGGCTCACTTGAGGTTCAGGAGTTCAAGACCATCCTGGACAACATGGTGAAACCCTGTCTCTACTAAAAATACAAAACTTAACCTGGCACAGTGGCGAGCGCCTGTAATCCCAGCTACTTGGGAGGGTGAGGCAGGAAAATCTCTTGAACCTGGGAGGCGGAGGTTGCAGTGAGCCGAGACTGTACTATCACACTCCAGCCTGGGCAACAAGAGCAAAAGTGTCTCAAAAAATTGTTTTTTGATAGAACAAAACATTATGTAAATTTCAACTTTCCATCTTCTATTCTTGGAAAGACTGTTCTTGCAAACTACAACTGGAGGCAGCGAATAGATTGCTGTCTGAAAAGCTCCTCTGAAAGTCGAGAAATAAGCAACGGTGTGCAAGTGCCCTGAGCCCCGTGGGCTTGCACTGCCTCCCCCAGGGTGTTCTCACACCTGGGGTGTGCAGCTCATCCCAGCAGGCAGAATCCAGAGGCTGGCACCCCCAGGAGGGCCAGCCCACGGGTGCACACACCCTCCGTCTCAGCAAGAAGGTGCATTTCTGCCATTTGGTGCACGTTTAAAGTCCTGACTCAAATCCAGACCTTCCAGAAGAGTTTTATTTATGTATCCCCTAAAATATTGAACCTAACATAATCCAAGGAAAAATGCCTAGGTCCAACTTACAATGTGTTTAATTTGCATTTGTTTGGTGTACCTATGACATAAAGGATGTGTAAAAGAGTCACATTTACAGGGGCCAGCAAAGCTCATAGTTCCCGTGTGTGGGGTGGGTATAGATGCTGTGCTGACCTGCCCGCCTGGGTGCACAGATGCTAGGATAAGGGGAATTTTTTGTCCTTTGGGACCAGGCCAAGTGCATCTTTGCTGTGCACAGAGTCACTGCATCACTTGCAATTTTTCATCCAACCTGAAAAATGCGTACTAAAAATGTTCTTCTAAATTATTTGTGGACATTGTTATGTCTGATGACGAAGGTGCGTGGTCTTAGACACCAGGATCGCGAGAACGACAAGCAGGGGCCGTGAGTTTGATGAAGGACAGGGCGAGGAAGGGGCAGCCCGGGGCTGCAGCATCCTGACGGCCCTCGTGTTCCTTCCAGGCTCTCGGAACCCGACCCCAGCCACACCCTGGAGGAGCGGGTGGTGCGCTGGTACTTCAAACTGCTCGACAAAAACTCCAGCGGGGACATCGGCAAGAAGGAAATGAAGCCCTTCAAGAGATTCCTTCGGAAAAAATCGAAGCCCAAGAAATGCGTGAAGAAGTTCGTGGAGTACTGTGACGTGAATAACGACAAATCCATCTCCGTGCAGGAGCTGATGGGCTGCCTGGGCGTGGCCAAGGAGGACGGCAAAGCCGACACCAAGAAGCGCCACAGTAAGAGCCTGACCCCCACCCACCCTTTGCCCTTTGCCCTTTGCCTGGTCAGGCCCTGAGGCCTGGGAGGTCCGCTTCTCACAAACACAGTTACAGATTGTGGTTACGGCCTTGGGGGGCTGGGGTGCAAAAAAATCAAATATGCTGTTGAGTTGTAGGTCACCTGCTTGCAGGAGTAAAAATGCTAATTGACGACTCCTCGTGAGCCGCGTGCTCAGGAGAGCCCCGGTTCAGAGGGCATGGACTGCGCGTTGGTTTGCAGACAAGCCTTTTTACCATTCAGACCATGGCTGGCTCCCCCAGGATGACTGTCTTCTGGCAGTGGAAGTGCAAACCCGGGGCCAACCCTGTGCCTGAACTCCAGCCCAATGTTCAGGCAGGTTCATGAGCGGCAAAACCATTGCTGGGGCCCAGACCAGTTATTCCACTGGTTTTAGCAGATTTACCAACTGAAAATACTTTTTTGTATGGGCCTGGCCTACCCAACCCACTGTCAGAAAAAGCAAGAGAATCCTCCGATGGCCAGAGCCCAAATCTTCTCAGGAGGTAAGCCAGGAAAAGCCAGATCTGACTTTTCAGTGCAGAGACGGCACTGTGGGACGCACGTGTGCCCTAGGTCCCGCTGTACGTGTGTGTAGATCCCACTTCACATGTGTGCTAGGTACTCCTGCACGTGTCCCACTGCACGTGTGTGGATCCCACCGCACAGGTGCACTGGGTCCCCTCGCACGTAGGCAGTAGGTCCCCCGCATGTGTATCCAGAATCCCTGCACACATGCGCTAGATTTCCCTTCACGTGTGTCCTGCAGCTTCCTGCCCATGTGTGCTAGACCCCACTGCACATATGTGCTTGATCCCCCTCATGTGTGTGCTGAATCCTGCTCTACATGTGTGCTGGATTCCGCTGCATGTGTGTGCTGGACCTTACTGCACATGGGCATTAGATCTTGCTGTCCTTGGGGATCTGTTTCCTGATCTGTATAATACTCGCTGGGAAGGGCTAGCAGAGACCTCTCAAATTCCTGCCATTTATGACTCTTTTGTTTGTTGTCAACTTCAGTAACCAATATAAAACAGAAAACAAGGTTGAGACTGTGTTCCGGAGCATTGATTCACTGTGGTGAATTCACTGTGGTGAGGATTGAAAATCCTCCTGGCAGGGAGCAGTGGCTCACACCTGTAATTCCAGCACTTTGGGAGGCCGAGGCAGGTGTAGCACTTGAGGTCAGGAGTTCAAGACCAGCCTGGCCAGCATGGTGAAACTCCGTCTCTACTAAAAATATAAAAATTAGCCAGGCGTGGTGGTTTATGCCTATAATCCCAGCCACTCCAGGGGCTGAGGCAGGAGGATTGCTTGAATCCAGGAGGCAGAGGTTGTAGTGAGCCAGGATCATGCCATTGCACTCCAGTCTGGGCAACAGTGAGACTCTGTCTCAGAAAAAAAAAAAGAAAAAGAAACTCCCATGTCTGAAGCTTGGCTGTGAGATGGGGCCCTTTGATCTGGCCTGGACTGAGGGTTCCTGGAGGGGGTGGTGATTGTCGTCTGCCGCCTCTTCTCAGTGTCCTGGAAGTCATCACAAGAGTCACTCGGTGCTATTCAACCAGATTTGGCCCAGCCTAGGTTTGTGTCACAGTGAAGCACTTCCTGCCGATTTCTCTGAAAAGTCCGTCCTGAAAAATTAAGCTTTGCTTTGAAGCTTGTTGTGTAGGGTCTTTGCGGTGATTGCGTGCCCTGCCATCCTGACGATGTCTTGTTGGAGAGCTGATGGCCATGCCTAAGGCCGCCTGCCTTTGCTGCATGAGCAGGAGGCTGCCCCTGCTGACCCGGCCATCCAACGAGCTCAGAGAATCCTCAGTTATGTTCAATGTTCTGTCTCCATCAAGGACTCTTTTGCAAGTGTGGGGGAGCTGGCTTCTACCATGACAAAACAAATAAGGAATCACTGGCTGACCAGCTCGAAGCTTGAAGGCAGCAAATGCCCACTCACCGCCGTGGGACGAGGGGCACTAAACGTGCTGCCAGTCTGGCGAGGCTCAGGGTCCAATATCCAATGACTCAAGACCTCATTTCATTTTCATAGCCACCCTGGGGGTGACAAGGTCACAGACAGATGCCGCCACCCCTGACACCTGCAGACGGGGACACACAGGCACTGCCATCGCCAGCACTTTGATCTGAGTCTGCCTCGGCAGTGCTGCATGCAGCAAGCGCAGCCGTGGAGATCGCCCACTCTGCTGGGCTCACTTCCTGTGAGGGCTCCTTCACCCACACCCAGGTGCACCTGCAGCCTCGAGGCGTTTGGATGGAAAGCCAAGAATGCCCATTCTCAGTAGCAGCCCATGTGTGATTTCCCCCTTGCGTTTCCCTCTCTGTCTTCTGCCCAGTGGGTTTCCTGGGCACGACTCTCCTACTGCCGCCTGATACTGCTTTTGGCTTCTTGGCCTGGACTGTGTTTTAGTCCATTTCGTGCCGCTGTAACAGAACACCATGGATGGGGTGATTTATGAACAGAAATGTATTGGTCATGGGTCTAGAGGCTGGGCAGTCCAGGTCTGTGGAGCCAGCATCTGGTGAAGGCCTTGTGCTGTGCCATCCCCAAATGGAAGGGTGAAGAGAGGGTAAGAAAGGCAGCAGGAGAGCAAGGGGCACCAAACGCATTCTTTCTTAGGAGCCCGCTCCCAAGGTAAAGGCCTCACCCACTTGTGAGGGCGGAGACCTTGTGATGCAGACCTCGTGAACCTCCCAGCGCCTCTGCATTAGAGATTGAGTTTCCACCATGTGAACTCTGGGCTCACCTTCAGACCATAACAGGCTGCCTTCACCTCCTGTGCTATTTCTCTTACTGTGGTCCCTGCTCAGGATCCCAGAAGACAAAGGGCGTATTGCTCTTTGAGACTTAAAACCTACCAGCAGGGGCCACATGGGAGGCCTGGAGAAGTGACGGGGAGATGGAGAGCAGGTGGCTGCCAGCTCTGTGGCTGGGGCCAGGTAACCATGGTGTCCCTCACCCCTATAATTCCACAGAGAGGGAAGTTCACCCACCCAGCAATTCACCGAGGGAGCCACTGGCTGTTGCCCCGTCTGCACGTGATGAGTGACACTTTGGGGCACCTGGTGGCTGCCTGCATGGCTCCTCCTCCGTTCTGGAAGTGTCCCTGCGTTTCTATAGAAGGCTAATTCTTATGGTTGTAATGAGAAATGAAGGCTGGACAGAGCCAGCTGAAGATCTTTTTCACCTCTTATTTTCTTCCATTCCTGGGTGGTGTCGGCTGGTCTTTCCTTTGCAAGGACTCCCTCCTCTTGGGTGTGGTCAGCTGGCTTGAGTAGCACCCACATCCCAAGCCCCCCACGGTCTCTGCGCTCCTCAGCCTCATGCTACAAGGTCATGTGGTCCATGGCCCTTGCTGGGGCAGATTTCTGTCTGCTAATTTCTTCAATTAAACCAAAGTAAATGCAGACTCTGTGAGGGAGGGTGAATGACTTCCAGCAGTTCATGGGTTTTTAAGCAGAATAATTGGGCCCAGAGCTGGATTATGATGACAGAATTTTGAAATTTCAGGATCAAATGATTTCAGGATGGATCCACAGCAGCTAAGATGTTCTCCTGGAGGCCCTGCTCCCACACCACCCTCCAGAGGAACCCACAGCTCCCCCATCCCACACCGCCCTGTTCCCACACCACCCTCCAGAGGAACCCACAGCTCC